GAGGGCTATAATAGGAGTTAGTACCGCATGGGATTCAAAAAAAAATTATTTTCTCTATCAGATTGAAGTTTTATTGAATCAAAGATAAACAACTAACATACTGGCTTGATACAGTTTTGAAAGTGTATAGGGAAACACTACGTACCATCACACCATAAGCATTGAAGATCTTTTGGTATCTGCTCTAGCCAATGCATCAGCCCAACTATCAGATTCTGTGCATACATAAATTAAATACCTTGATTCATGGATCAAAAAATTTCCTCATATCTCCATGGTCTCAGCTTTGGCTCAGAACACCTGGAAAAAGCCACAGTCAGATCTGATCATCAGAAAGAGTTGAGCACCAAGTGTGTGATGAGAAGCATTATTATACCTAGCAAAGGGAGGTAAAGAGGGAATAGCATATGTTGGTTGATTTGAAAGGGGGGGGGGGTTCCTTATATTTGACACAGAAGTTAAAGCTATTGGACATTCTCTTTGTTTTCAAAAATAGAGAAGGGAGTACATGGGTATGTTCAGTTATCTGTCAGTTTCCTTTATATTAGTGGGTCATGCATACCTTGTAAGTGATCGAATACTCATTTAAAGGGGGGTTCCCAGCTATCGTTACCTCTCGTAAGCCACACAGGTCTGCCCAAAGTGATATGAGGTGGTGCTTGTTTTGTTGCATTTTAACAAGGGAATGATCTAATTGTGCTTCATATGACTATCTAGATTTGCATGTCAGTCAATTCATTAGTTCGTCAGAATCTCATGACATTTGTGTGCTTGCTTTCTAGCTTTCTAGCTTCTCATCGGACATTGTTTTTCTCCTTAATATGCTGACATTGTTACTCCCCTACTTTAAATCTAGACATCTAATTTGAGGGTAAACTTTTAAATTAAGTTTACAAGCTTGAAGAACTAGTATAATAGGGTCTAGTTCTTGAGACCGAGCTTCATTCCAAAGAAATCAACAGAAACTGCTTGTCTTTGTTAATTCATTTGTGATATACATGACAGTTATGCCCCTTGTATCCACACCACCCTGAAGTGTTGCTGAATGAATTGCGGTCTCCATCTGAGTTGTTAGATTTTTGAGAATTCTCGGATTGCTTGGATTTTGGAAGTGGCATTGGTGCCCCTCTTCTTCATGTTGTCAATCCAACATTTGATTATGTGCCACCAAAGCTTGTTAGTCTCTTTATAACTGATACGTAAGTTCAATTGGACTTTATGGAGTTCAAAAGATTCAGAACTTCTATCCTCTCCATTCATATTTGATATTTGGTAACTGTTTGATGTTTACCATTTCATTTCGAGTTGCCAAATTAATTACTTTTCTGCATTTGGAATATTATTGATAAGTTGATATGATGTGTGGAATACGTAGTCTTTTCTGATTCACGTTGATCTTGGTCAAAAGAGTAAAAAAGATTGCATGCGTTTGGCTTTTCTGTTTCAGCCATTTCTAGATGTTCTGGTTTTCATGGTCCTCTAGTTTCTTCTTTCCCTGCAATCACTGATTGCTTTATGTCTTACAGTGGAGGGCATAATCCATCATACATGTACCGCCTGATTGCGGATTATTACTCTGCTGATGATCTTGACCTGCAACGAAGAGCTACTTCGGGGAATTAAGTTTACAGTGCCGAGATATACCAGTAAGTGCTTTTTCATCCTATGTAGAAAATGTTTGATTGTTGCGAGCTGACTGCGGCCAATGTGGCTCAATTATTAGTTGTCCATACCAATATATATATTTTTTAAAGTAAAAAGTAAAAACTTGCTATTCGTGCATTCCAATATTCAAAAGCAACTGCTTGGCTTCAAACTTGGTGAAATATTTCTGCAACTCAGCTTTCAGATTACGTGTGATGTCTGTACGTGGAGAAGATATGAAATTCAAGTTAGATCATGAAAAGTAACTGCATTGCTGAAGGAAACTTTGTTAAATTATCCAAATGCATGGAATCAACTTCTGCGGCAAACTCGATGACAGAAAAGCCACTTTTTGGTGATTGCGGAGAGATGTAGGACCTAGGAAATAGAAATGCAGTGGGAGGAAAAGAAAGAAATGAAGTGAAGGTAATATCTTGATCTTTGTATCGCCATGAAATATTCGTCAACATTCTGCTGTTTGAAAAACTCATGCATGGAACTCTTGTTGTATTACTGTTGGCTATGGTGGTCCTGGAGATATAGCTCTTTTGCATTTTACTTGTAAATTTCATAAATTCCAGTAATCTTGAACTCGGTTAGAAATTTGGATTAAATAAAAACATTTTTTGTGTGTGGATATTTTACGAATGAAATAGTAGAATGGGCATAAAGAGTTTTTGGAGCTGGGCTCCTGACCGGAGTGCATTCATTAACCCGTGATTCAAGTTGTCATCTTGATCAAACTTTTGCATTCAAAGTTTTAAAGGGTTTTTGTCAGATAAATAAAACAAACAAAAAAACATTTTAGGTAAATTATTTGATACAAATCCCAAATGCACAAATGTTGATATAATGAGACAAGTTGGAATAAAGAATAGAAACATAGAGAATAATGGAATTCCTATATCATCTTGGGTTTATATAAACATATAGTCCTTCCTTTGTGGATGTACACCATCAATATGATTAGCCTTATTTTGGTGGTGTTGAAAAATGAAGAAACCCACTGTACTGGTGATGAAGGGGATATCACCGTCTGGTTTTGGAAGTCCTGTCCAGAATTCACACCACACCTCACCTCACCTTAACTGATACATTTACAGACTTCAAATGTAAAAGGAAAAGAAAAGGAGAAGATTTTCACGGGTGAGGAAAAAGCCTTCGCTACGGCTTTTTGAGAAAGAACAAGAGTAAAAAATAGTCCAAATGCGCCAGCCGGAAATCGGACCCGGGTCTGTACCGTGGCAGAGTACTATTCTACCACTGGACCAATGGTGTTGAGTTGATATCACAATCTTCGGAGATATTAAATCATAAAAAATCATGTACACTTTCTAATATCTTCAATATATATATAGGTTGAGTCCATATTATTTAGTCTCATGTGTAAATATATATATATAACATTTGTTTCAAGTTAGGATTTATGTTGGGTTCGATTTTTAGTTCGATTGTACTATAATAGTTACTTATTATTTATAGAATTAATTTCTATCAAACTATGACTTGTTATGATGATTCTAATTAGTTTATACTTATAATTCTCGAATGTATAGACTATTATTGTAATTGTACTTATATCCTTTTGAAAAAACATTAATTAATATAATCAAAGTTCATAAATAATATTAGCTAATAGTTGTTTTAACATAATGGGATATAAGTCTCTAAAGTAAAAGCCTAGAGTTTTGAATATTAATATAGTGAATGGAGAAAAATAGGTTAGAAGGGTCATCTTAGAATAAATCGTTATAATATTTATTTTGTATTAATCGGTCAAATGAGTTAGATACCCGTGATGTTATAAAAAAATCATAAAAAATAACTCTTGAAAACCAACCATTAGTTGGTACAATAGAATAGAACATAAGTCTTTTTAGAAATGTCACATGTTTAAATTTGATATTATGAAAATATAAAATTAAATTGAAATAATCATTTTATAATAAGTTTCTACAATACCCATACTATGGATGACTAACCTAGTTATAAACATAATATATATTACAATATAATTTACGAAAATTAATTATAAATAATTATTATATTTTATTATATAATTTTATGTTATAAATATATACTTATAATATTTTATATTTTATGTTATAATTAATATATTTTATAAACATAGATGTCAATAATCTTTATGAAATTAGTATATTTTAATTAATGTTATAAATATATTTTATAATATATTTATAATTTATGTACGGATAATATATTTTTATAAATATATATATTAAAATAATTTAAATATTTATTTGTGAAATGATATAATAATTTTTAAGTCTAATTCAATGATTAGAGGTTGAAGTTTTATCTTCAAGAGATTTTTGGTCTGAGCCTCCCTTGTGTGCGTGTGTGTTTTTTTGGTTTGTTTCATTCATAAAATGATATATCAATGAAGAGATATGTCATTATCTTATTTGATGATAATAAATTAGCTAACCCTTATTCCCATATGTAATGTGGTAAGGGGGAGGTAGAATAGTAGGCTGCCCTTAATACCAGGTTGAGAGCAGCTTCCGTGGAGACCTCCAAATTATGAATTACCTCCCGTAGGACACGATCCCTCAACCCCAAATTATTTAATGATAATAGTTTTTTAAATAAAAAATTGATGTAGATCGTTAACAAAAGCAAGTGTTGTGTTGTTTAGGGTGGACACTTTGAATTTTTCTGTAATAGTTATATATTTTACTGATGATAATTTTTGTTGGTGTTTATCTCATACGAATTTTTTTTATTGTTAATATATATGTATTTACTCTCAAATTTATTTAGATATGTCACAAATATAAATATATTACGTTAACGAAAAATATTGATCATTAGTTATTTAATAAATTATTTTAAAAATTTAATTTGATTGATATTGAAATATTGAGTACAAACGTACTTAAAAGAATAAATATTCAAACAAATGTGAGGCATGGAATTTGATATTATACATATACAAAAGCTACTAGGATTTCATATGGAAAGAACAAACATTAGCGTACTTTTCATCTCCCAAGTCGCAATAATCCAAAAAAATCTGAACTGAAAGTGTTGGAAGAAAACAATTTCCAATAAAACTTTGCTCAATCATAACCAAAAAGGCCAAAAGTAAAATTATCCCTTTAAAAATATTTAGAAGAAATAATAGAAACCCACCTCCATTAACAAACTCAAAAGCTTTAAACAAAAACCCATTTCATCTTTGGCTTCAATGAATTGATTTTGTGTGGTATTTTCTTGTTTTTTGCACCTTAAAATTTTGCAAAAGTCAAACATTGGGTTATTTTGTTTTCAGTCAGATATGTTTATGTTGAAGCTTCAATCAGATCATTAGTGTTTTTAATGATCTGATTGTGATGGATTTGGATGATTTCAGATCAATTCTTGAAACAGCTAGTGTTGATGTGTGGACATTTATTGATACAACAATCCTTACAGCTTGTTTAGATTATGGCCCAGAGTTGAAGCAGAGGAGGGATGGGATTGTGGGGAGGCTTTATGCTACTTCCATAGTTAATGGATGTAAAACCTGTGATTTTGGGGAGAGATCAAATGGATTTCCAGTTAATAAAGAAGGAAACCTTCATGGAAGTAAAGGCGGAGAAGGACGAAACGAGTTACCTTTAAAACCTCAATCGGATAATGACGATGATGATGATTTGGACCCTTGTGGAGGCTTGTTTGATGACGAACAAAAAAGGGTTCTTGAAATTAAAGACCTCCTTGAAGAAACTGATCAGGTCTTTGAACCATTTTGCAATTGCATTGTTGGTTTAATATTTATGGAGTTTGATTTGAATTCTTTTTGCATTTTACAGTCTGAAGATTCTTTGGTTGATCTGCTTCAAAGCTTGGCAGACATGGATATAACATTTCAAGTTCTCAAGGTGATAATTAAGTGGAATGAATTTGTTTTATTCATTTTTATTGAATTTTCCTTCGTAGTTTGATTCATCACCGTTCCATGTTTCGATTCTATTTTCAGGAAACTGATATTGGGAGACATGTGAACAAATTTAGGAAGCATTCATCAAATGATGTTAGGAAATTAGTGAAGCTACTTGTCAGGTTTTAATATTTCGAATTTCCATTTTAACTTGGGAAAATTTGAACAAACATGTGTCCGACATATATTCGAATCCAACAGTGTTATCCGAGTTCGAGTATCATAGTCTATACTATACATACGACTGTTTTGTCATGTTGTTTTAGTTCTGGAAAGAGCAGTTCAAGGAAAGTCGAGTTATATGATTTGGTTCTCTGTTTCTTCAGGAAATGGAAAGAGACTGTAGATAAATGGGTAATGGTTAATCAACCTGGAGAACTTGAATCTGCTGCACTTATGGGTACAAGCATCACTAAACTGTAACATGAATAATATTTTTTAGCTTTGATGCTCTGACTTATTATTTATATAAGAAAGATATCCGTATCTACCACTCGAAACAAATATGTTTTAAGATAATATGAAATTACAATCTTCTGAATTGGAAAGGTTTATGTTGAATACGTATTCATATCCGACACTTACTAAAATCCATAAAACATAAATTTTTACGTAAATTTTGTATGACAATAGATGGAGATTCACCACAGGAAAAGCTTCCTCGGAATGGTGGTCAACAGGTAAATGATATTATAATATGCATAATTATATATATCTTTTTACGTGAAAGTTGTTTAGAATTATGTCTTCCTTTCATCTTTCTAAGATTCTGCTGTGCTATAGGTTCCTGATCTCGTGTGCTCTCCAAATCCAAACAGTTAGTACAGAATCTGATTCAAAGTTTAATTTGATCTTAGTTTCTATATCTTGATAATGTTGATTTTACTTTGATTCTTTGTTTTTCTTGAAGATTTTGCGTTTAATACTCATATTTGACATATGAAATTATGAATACGACAATATGATCTCTAAGAATCGTACAAATACACAGGAATTCTTTTTTGAACAAATATCTGTATCCGTCTTTAGAACATTTGAGTCTTGATTAATCAGCCTTTCTTTTTAATTCTTTTTCGAATGACAATGGACAGATGAGAGTTCTGCTTCAGACAAAAATAATTCAGAACCGGAAAAGAAGTTAAAGCCAGTCTCACATCGTAAAGATCCTCCACTTCGACATATTCACTCAACTCCTCTACAAAATGTACAGGTATTATTAGAACTGCCAACTTAAACCCTGTAAATTAGGATATTAATTCTATGTTATTTAGATTTTTATTATATTTTTAAAGCATTCGTGTTTAACATTCATGTATGACTGTTTTCGGATATAATATGACTTCTAAGAACTCTCTAAATACATCAAATGTCCGTGCTTCATTGTTTGTTGATGGACATGGAGGTTTGATACCAAATTAGAAGCAAACACATTTATCGAAAATAAATAGTTAAAACAAAAATAGCATACTTAAAAATGACCATCCAGTTCAGTTGGTAGAGAACAAAATTTTTAACTTTGAGGTCGTGGGATCGAGTCTCACGGACGGCATTTCATAATTCGGAGGTCTCTTACAGAAGATGCTCTCAACCTGGTGTTGGGGTACTATCTTATCTCCCCTTACTCCATATATATGGGAAAAAAGAGACAACCATTTTTTTTAAAATTTACATCTGAGTTCGAGTAACATAACATTTGCGGAGATCTTTGTAGAAACATAAAGAACAGAAGGTCCAAAACCCAAGAATGCCTTCTTTGCAAAAAAACAAGGGAAGTGGTTCTCAAGGTAGGCAATGGTGATTTGGTTCATTGATTTTTTTTCCCTTCATGTTTTTGACCATTGTATTAGATGGTGATTAGGTGAATAATGGAGTGATGGACATTTCGTGTTTTTTTTTTTTTTGGTTTTGGGTTATCCTTCCATGTTCATGGAGATGTGCTGATTTATCTATTTATCATCTGATATTCTTGAGGGCCATGGTCATCCATAACCATAAATTTGGGGATGTGCCATGATTAATGAATGTAATTTTTGGATAATTATGACAATTCAATTTTTTCAGACTCAATATTTTTACACGCTTTTGTATGAAAATGTTTATTCTATATGTCATGTTTGGATTACAATATGAAAATATTAATTCTATATATCATATTTGGTAGTATAAATTGTAATTAAATAATTATTTAATATTAATTATAAAGATTAATAATATAATTACACCCAATTTCAATCATTCTTGGAGAATAACCTACGATTACACAAGTCGGGTTGAGCATATGGTACAAGAACATGAGTCACGAAGTTTTTTATCAAAAATATTTTTGTTGTAATTATTTTAAAGAAATTTAAACTCCTCATCAGCGTTTAACAATGGATGGACGGGAAATCTAATGGCAGGACCAATTTACCCTTTATTACAAGATGCAGTTTACCTTTTTCTCACCAAAATACCTTTACCATTCAATCAATTAAACTAAGCTCCGAGTCTATTTTATGACCTTTTACCCTTTATTATCTGTTCCCATTTATGGTACGTCAACTCAACTGGTTATAAATCATTTGTCATCATATATATATATACAACATTCAAAAGGGGTAGCTTAGAACGCGTCCATTCCCCCATTCATTCATGCAAAGATGCATCCCACCAAGAGTTCTTGGATATATATTTATCATTACAACTACCATGCATGACTTATTCCTAATACAGAAGCTAAAAAAACGAAAACATTGACCCGATTCAGTCGATCAACGTATCCTACAGTGCAGATTGGAAAATCATCTCTGCAAGTTCCTGCAACAACACAAACAAATTTGTCATTTCCACATTACATGCTATTTTACGGTCAACATAAAAGATACAGGACGGATAGGGGAAAAGCTCGAGACAGAAAAACTGTTTTCCTAGGTTCATTAACGTGCAACGGTGCCATATAAAAAGTTGTATGAAAAGCATTGCCTTCTGTCATGTTTTGTAGTTAGTTTTCCTGTTAGAATTGATACTTGTTCATACCTATTGAACAATCTAATATGAATAACTCTCTATTCGCTCGGGTTATATCATTAAGTTCAAAAAACTTATAAACGTTTTTTAAATTAATAAATCTAACTACCTGCTTGGCTGAAGCAACCTTGGGCTCTCCCCCTTCCATGGCTTTCTTTTCAAGCATTTCAAAATCAGCTTTACCAGCCTGTTTGATGATGGATTACTTCCATTACGGGTTTTCCATAGGAAATGTAGACTTTAGGCCCAAAAGAAGTTATAATGAAAATAAATAAATAAACTCATCACCTCAATCTGGCCACCAAGTTCTGTGTCGAAGCTGGAATATCGTTTACGGACAAGCTCAGCCAAAGAACCATCCTATAATGACAAATTCCATATTATTAATACATGAAAGGGGGAAAGTAAAAGAGGCATTTGGTTAAATTTCATCACAAATAGAAAGTAAAAAAGCAAACTTCTATATTTTATTACCTCAATCAGCTTAGCAGCGTTTCGGAGTCCACGGGCCAAGGTGTCCATTCCACTAATATGAGCAATGAACAAATCCTCAACATCTGTACTCTCTCTCCGCCTAAAAAACAACAAAAAGTAAAAATTTCATCTCAAGCAGGTAAAGGTGATGAGAGTCTAGTTAAACACAACACAACCAGAAGAAATAACGAGGGAAAATTTACTCACAATTTTGCATCGAAGTTGAAACCTCCTGGCGCTAATCCACCCTGTCACACAAATACGAAAAGTGTAAAGTAAAATACTCTTCGAACTATAAAATGTAATTAAAGAATCCTTCCCATACATTTTTTATCACACTTAGCATAACCATGGTTGCCTCTCCAATATCAGTCATGAACTGATCAGTGTCCCAACCTGTATCACAAACAAATCAATCTTTGACACTACTGAGTTTGAAAACGTAAAATAAGATTACTTCATAAAAATAAAATGTTTTAAGTTACTGGATTGTACCAACTTGAGGATCTCCAGTGTTCGCATCGATATTTCCTAACAATCCATTGATTCTTGCAGTCTCGAGATCATGATGACAGCTGCCAATTACAGAAGCACCATAGGTTAGCAGAGGAATTTACATGCATACAATTGTTGGGAAATTTTATGAGAAATAATGCGCAAGTATAAAAAAACTGAAGGGACGGAACATGACAAACCTATGACCAGAAAGTGTGGCATGGTTGCACTCAATGTTAAGTTTGAATTCCCCTACAAAAGGAAATGGTTAACGTTGAGTTAAAATGAAACCACCTACTGACGTAGATAATACCTAGATAGATACTATCAGAAAGAAAGTCTCATTTTCTTCTATATATAAAATGGAACCATGATTTACGAAAACAACAGAGTTATCCACAATCATTTGGAAGGCACTGTTGGGATCAGACAAGTATTGGAACTCACCAAGCAGCCCATATTTTCTCAAGAAGTTAAGTGTTGTTGCAGCATCCCAGTCATACCTGTAAAAAGCCAAGCATGGTTCATATACAAAACAACAAACTTGACTGATATTACTAACTGAGAATGGAAGGGATTGCTGAAACGTACTGATGTTTTGTAGGTTCTTGAGGCTTAGGTTCAATTAGCAGAGTTCCTGAATCAAAGAGTATTCCATCAGAACTCCAGAAAAGTAAGAAAAAGATGAAAAATAACTACAAGAAAACAACCATGTGGTCCAGGATGGCATCATTTTTTTTGTTCCCTTCCTCCACACCACCTATATTTGCAGGAAAGGAAGCTAACATAAAGTCTTTTAAGATTATTGATGGAAAATTACCATTGAATCCAATCTTCTTCTTGTAGGCAACAGCAGCTTCAAGAAACCTTGCCTGTCAAAATAAATAATAAAAAAAATGGTAGTTGATAAGTAAGAAACCACATTAGAAACTACAACCAAAAACAAAAACAAAAAATTGGGGAATATGCTTAAAATAAAGTAAACCTTTTAACATATATAAACAATAAGGCTGACATTGAAAAACATTTTTCAGCAGATTACTAAATACAAAATGAGAAAAAAATATACCAAATGATCAAGCTCTCTTTCCATGTCCGTGTTCAAGAGTGTTTGGTATCCCTCACGACCACCCCAAAAGACATAATTTTCTCCCCCAAGATAATGTGTCACCTATAGGAAGGGAAGGCAAAGCACCATAGAAAGCAATTATCAGACATAAGACCAATGTAACCTTAATCCAAACGCAAAATATACAAAAAGTTTTCTATGAATATTATATAGAAGTAGACACCCACCTCCATAGCTTTCTTGACTTGAGCAGCAGCAAAGGCATAAACACCCAATTCAGAGCTGAAAAGCAAACACAGAAGTAATAAGTTCATCAAGGGGGGAAAATGATCAATTTCGATGAAGGATATATGCGAAGGGTATATGCAAAACACTCAATTAAGAATACCTAGTAGCAGCACCATGCATATAACGTGGATGCATAAATAGTTGAGCTGTACCCCACAGAGGACGGATCTTGTCTCCCTACATAATCAAGTAACAGATATTTGGAAAACATATAAATCAGTCTTGTATCATCAAACAAGAGAGTCAAATTGTTTCAGGCAATGTGAGTTTTCACGCACAAGATTTTTTATGCACAATTATTTATTTTCAGTTACAGAAGAACGATTAGCCAAAAAAATGAAAAACATAGACCTCAACGACATCCCTTCTCATATTTCACATTACAAATATATGATGGAAGTTTTTCTATTCTTTCCCATCCAATCAAGCACCCAACGAAAATGGACAAGTAGATTTGATGGTCTTTGTTCCTCATGTTAGAGATGTAGAAAATAGCAGAGTGGTTTAATACATTGTCAAAGTTCTATAACTGATTCAAACAATTAAAACGTTTAAAACGTTTTGCAAATTCAACCAATTACCTGAAGTTCTTTAGCAAGAGCAACCACTTCATCCAAGTTTGAATTAGTTTCCTACAACAAACACGATAAAAAAATATATTGATTGACAATTGTTAAAGAATAATAGGACTATAGGAGGGGTTTTAAGTTAGCTTAGTCAAAACCAATTCATTTTCAAGCATTCATACGTAAAAAGCAACTTTAACAATCAACAGGAAAATATCCAACCTGTAGGGTTTTGCCATCGGGAGCAATGTCCCTGTCATGGAAACACCACCTATCAACTCCAAGCTTGTTTAGGAATTCAAAGTTGGCTCTCACTGCAATTGTTTCAAAAAGGAGAAAAAAATTACCAGATGCTGTGAACT